ACTGAACAGATGCATGTATACTCTTGTGCTGACCAGCAATTCGTCAGGCAGGGCAAGTCAAAAGTCACAGGGAAGTAGTAGTGCCATGAACGTTTGGAATCTGCTGAAAAGGGGTTAATGAATATATTCTCATGTAAAATATTTTGCATGTGCTCTACGAGGTGGATCACTTTTGACAACTGGTCAGAGATGAATAAACCCTTAAACTGACTGCAAAAAATGTGGTCAGCCGCCAGAGTCCTGCACTCTGTGCCGGAACCCGGGATTGAACCGGGGGCCTTTAGATCTTCAGTCTAACGCTCTCCCAACTGAGCTATTCCGGCCGACGAGCATGTCTGTCATTTCAAACGAACTGTATATAGCGCGAGCTAATTGCTTACTTTCCAGATGAAGGCTGTGTTTTCATTTGAAATTGGTTTGCAGACCACTGAACAGATGCATGTATACTCTTGTGCTGACCAGCAATTCGTCAGGCAGGGCAAGTCAAAAGTCACAGGGAAGTAGTAGTGCCATGAACGTTTGGAATCTGCTGAAAAGGGGTTAATGAATATATTCTCATGTAAAATATTTTGCATGTGCTCTACGAGGTGGATCACTTTTGACAACTGGTCAGAGATGAATAAACCCTTAAACTGACTGCAAAAAATGTGGTCAGCCGCCAGAGTCCTGCACTCTGTGCCGGAACCCGGATTGAACCGGGGCCTTTAGATCTTCAGTCTAACGCTCTCCCAACTGAGCTATTCCGGCCGACGAGCATGTCTGTCATTTCAAACGAACTGTATATAGCGCGAGCTAATTGCTTACTTTCCAGATGAAGGCTGTGTTTTCATTTGAAATTGGTTTGCAGACCACTGAACAGATGCATGTATACTCTTGTGCTGACCAGCAATTCGTCAGGCAGGGCAAGTCAAAAGTCACAGGGAAGTAGTAGTGCCATGAACGTTTGGAATCTGCTGAAAAGGGGTTAATGAATATATTCTCATGTAAAATATTTTGCATGTGCTCTACGAGGTGGATCACTTTTGACAACTGGTCAGAGATGAATAAACCCTTAAACTGACTGCAAAAAATGTGGTCAGCCGCCAGAGTCCTGCACTCTGTGCCGGAACCAGGATTGAACCGGGGGCCTTTAGATCTTCAGTCTAACGCTCTCCCAACTGAGCTATTCCGGCCGACGAGCATGTCTGTCATTTCAAACGAACTGTATATAGCGCGAGCTAATTGCTTACTTTCCAGATGAAGGCTGTGTTTTCATTTGAAATTGGTTTGCAGACCACTGAACAGATGCATGTATACTCTTGTGCTGACCAGCAATTCGTCAGGCAGGGCAAGTCAAAAAATATTTATTTCATTATATACTCATGCCAATAATGGTTGTCACCCCTTCAATTTTTTTATTGGAGGGCGTGTGGGGTGGGTGTTGGGTTGGGGTGGGGAGGGTGACAACCATTATTGGCATGAGTATATATACATGTATACTTGTGTTTACTACGAATTCGTCGTGATATATGACGTCTGTGTGAATCGAATGATTACACATTAATTTCGACATTGAATGAGATTGTGTTTTTACAAACTAACAGTAAATCTATACTTTCGTGATTTCTCATTTTCCCGTGTATCTCTTTGAATGATATTTTGGGGCAAGCTAATTACGTCATTGTGTGATCGGTTACGTATATAACTGGACTATTGCTGAGTTCGGCGGTAAACAACAGTATCAACAAAATAGCAACAACAATACAAACAAAATATGATCTGTAATCTGATGAAAGAGCCCGATTGTGTTATAAGTTTGAAAACACATGGAAATGATTTGGCAATGTATGCATGTATATTTGCAAACATGCATATTTCTTTTACTTGCCGCTGGAAACATAACGAAAACCCGTAATGGTGTTCTATACAATATATAGACATAGGTGATATCACCAGGTCGATATCGATCGTTATTCCCAACTGGTTTATGCTGTATTGACATGTGTTTGTCGAAGTAAGAGAGTTTGGATTTAGGGACCGTTCATAATTTATGGCTAGGGGTGGGAGGGGTGTGTGTGGTGTGTGTGTGTGTGTGTGTGTGTGTGTGTGTGTGTGTGTGTGTGTGTGTGTGTGAGAGATATGATGATTTTCATGGAAAGGCATGAACAATGTGAATGACCCCCCCTAAAATTTATATTCAAAATATGTGACCACCCCCCTTGCATGTCATGTACAAATCAATGACCCCCCCTTCCAGTAATTTATCTTTTTTTTTTTGTTATTTTTGTGTACAAATTTGGTGACCCCCCTACCTCTCCAGAACAAAATGGGTGATACACAAACACACACACACACACACACACAAACACACACACACCCAAAAAAATCATTATCACTCCTCCTAGCCATAAATTATGAACGGTCCCTTACACAGGCCGTAGACCACACAGATCTAGAGTCTGTCGTTCCTCCTAATCTGGATGCGGTTAAAAACAATTTAGCACTTCGTGTGTCGGAATTCGATGTAATGTACGGGACACAGCGCCAAGATTGCTTTGTTCAATGGTGCCTTGGCTTGTTACCTGCGTGTATATATGAGCTGAAAAGTAACTTGTCGCCATAACAATGGCAGAATCAATGTAGGAAAATAAGGACGTTTGTGGATAGTGGCGGTGCTGTACTGTACTGTACACACATCGGCGAGGAAGAGATCCACAGCAGTGTGGGCGTGTTCGTGGTCTTTTTGTTATTATTTTGATTTGATTTTAAAGAGATATGATACCATAGGTTGTTAGCTTTGTTCCTGATACTGGCTTCCTATCATTTACCCGGAGAAATGGGGAGTGGTTACTATTTCGCTTGAGGATTTGTCCATTTTCCTTCCAACGTTTATCTTCTACAATCTGCTGTTGAATTTACAGAAGTCTGAAAGGCTGGCTAAACACTATGGAACATTTGCCTTGTGCAAGTGTTTTTGTTTAAATATGCTGCAGCAAATCACCAGCGGTGAATGGGTGTGGAAATGCGCTGTCAGCGAGATATCCAGCATGGAGAAAAACGACATTGAAATGGAATGTTTATTGTTATTATTATTATTATTGATAATGTGAATTGTAAATGTAAGTGGCCGTTAATAAGTTCAGTTTTGCTAGCATGTATGGATATTTTTGTTGTTGTCTCAAAACAATACATATATAATCTGAGCCGAAGAAAAGGCCAAGCGATACCAAATGATCGTTTCGTAAAACCAGAGAGAATAAAAGACGTAGATTATCCCTGGTAAATACTGCATGAGTATTATCAGGGAGACTATGTAACGGGCAGTGCATGTCACTCCTCGAAAAGCCCCTTAGCGTATGCCTCGGCTCGTCACGTGACCAGTGATTGAGCCCGGTTTATTTTCAACAGCTGATTACATTCGCTGAGTGTTGTGAGTCGTGTCAACTGAAAACCTACATGCAGAAGATAAGTTACCTATTCTGTCACTTCATTTTAAGTCAAATAATTGTTATAAGTGTCAGTATTAGTACAGTAGATTTGTAGTAAAGTTTCAAGTCGGCATGTTGTAGCTCACTGGCTTCAATTCTCAGTACACAGCGAAGAAAGACTAAATTCTATCGCTAAAAACTTCTTTCACATATTCGTTTAATTTTTAGAAAGGAAATATACCTTTAGTTGAAAGGTGTTTGCAAGTAATAGTGATAGTTTTATAACTAAAAACAATTGTTAGGGTGTATTTGAGGTGTGTGAAAAATATGACATATCGCCGATCTGCCATTGAAATACTACAGGGCGTTGTTTGAGTGTTTCTAGTTATTGTTCTAAAACATCTTTCACATACACCTTTAATTTTTATGAGGGGAATATACCATCAGGTTAAAGGCTGCTGGCTGAGTATGGTTTTACGCCGTTTTTAGCAATATTCCAGCAATATCACGGCGGAGGACACCAGAAATGGGCCAGGTGAAAGGTGTTTGCAGGTAATAGTGATAGTTTTATAATATTAAACAAATTGTTAGGGTGTATTTGAGGTGTGTGAAAAATATGACATATCGCCGATCTGTTCTGATCCGCCATTGATGCTTGTAATGCTTGAGTGTTATAGTTCTAAAACTTCTTTCTTTCTTGTTTTAATATGTTAGTATTTGAAGGTGTTTACAACGCTTTGTGATAGTTCTAAACTTTCCGTTTTTGAGGGGTGTGTGACAGTGTCAGTTAACATTCTGTCAATGTCCATGCCATTCCACACATGCAATAAGATATCCGAATGAATTACTAATGTAAAAATGTCTCAAAGTAGATTTTTAAAAAAAAGGACAGCTGATGTTAACACGTGTGTTCCAGCCATAAGTTTGTGTTCTTTAACATGTTTGGGGAGGGATGGCCGTGGTGTATCATTTATTCTTTCATTCATTCACAAATGCCGTGGTGTATCATTTATTCTTTCATTCATTCACAAATGTATTTCTTTCTTTTGTTCTTTATTTCTTTCATTCTTTCACATACAATTCATTCATCCATTGATTGATTGATTGATTCATTGTAAAATTCCGTCTGATACAATAAACTGGCTGAAGTACTGTTAAACGCAGGCGAAGTTGCACTGCGGAACCAACCAATCCGCTGTGTGCGTTGGAGCATGACGACGCACACGCTTATTAGTACAAATGGTAAAGAAAGCAAGCGAGTGACCTATCCCTGTTGTAGATTATCCCTGGTATTATACGTTTATATACTAGTGAAAGAACCTCTTTATAACCCGGTCGGTAACTCATACGCCTTTTTAGTTATAAAACTCATACGCCAGAACATTTCAGATAATGCCAAGTTCTCACGTTCACAATAAATTATCTAGCTCCACATCATCATGTCCATCTGCATATTAATTGTCGGAAAGTAATTTAATGGCTTCGGTGAGCCAAAATCGGATTACACAAGATCTGTCCATGCGAGTTATCACCACCCATTCACGACGACTATTGTTCGCGCCTGCGCAGTGATGTTCATGCCGCGTCATTTCCTTTACGGAAGAGAGGAAGCAAGCGTGGTGGAGATGTTGACTATTGCCGGCTCCGCGATTCAAAGACTAGATCAGTTTTTACACAAACAGCATGTGCTATTTAGTGCAATCTGTGTCCTGTCACTTGTCGGACAGTGCATGGGCATTGGAGAAGTTATTTGGGCCGTCAACTGCGGCGGTAGCAGCCACACTGACGTCCAAGGCATTCGTTACCAGGCAGATCCACTGAAAATCGGCCAGGCTTCTGATTATGGCAAAAGTCTTCTGATCCAACGAGTGGTACCACAGGACCAAATATTGTATCAGACTGAACGCTATCACATGTCCACGTTTGGCTACGATGTTCCACTTTCAAAAGACGGAGACTATAGTATTGTTTTGAAGTTTTCCGAAGTGTGGTTTACGGCGCCCAACAGGAAGGTAATTCACAGACAGGCACCCCCATTGTACTTTGCAATACTTTTGTATGATGTGACTATTTATCAGTTAATACCAAAAAATAATAACAGTAAAAATGATAATGCCTCTAAAAGTGTCAGGAAGGTGATGGGCGTGGTGAAAACCGACAGTGTCTGAATATATAATATAATGTACCAAAGCCTTGATATTGATGCATGTTTACAATAAACATGATAATGGCAATAATAATAATGACAGTCATCATCCTACCGACATCAAGTCCATACATTTCTTGAATAACAAGCAATTATTTTGTAATAATTTTATGTTTTGAAGATGATCCCTTTTCAACGAATTTGTTTGTTGTTTAATACCTAACTCAGCAATATCGCAGCTATATGGCAGCGGTCTGTAAATAACTGAGCCTGGACCAGACAATCCAGTGATCAACAGCATGAGCATCAATGTACAAAATTTTGACATGTGTCAGTGAGCCTGACACCAACATGATATAGCTTCAATATTGCTGAGTGCTGCTTTAAACAACATTCAAACAAAACAGCATACAAAACAGTGAGTCTGACCACCCAGTCTTGTTAATCGCCTCTTACGACAAGAATAAGTTACTGAAGTTATGACCCTTGTATTCACGGGTGTTCAACCCTTTTAATGAACATGCATATTAAATAATAATAGTGATCATGATATTTCAACAAGGTATTTTTTATTTGCAAGTTGATGGATACTTCTCATCCTTGAAATGTTTGTTCAGTAAGCTGCAGAGTTAAGCATCAGAATCATGAATCAGCTGTGAATAGGACATGGTAGACAGCCATAAGCATACTGTAACTGATTTTTGCAAACTCGTAAAATAAACATGATGAAAGTCTTTAAATACCGAGAAGGTGAGCAATAACAGTTCATAAAATTCAAACAAGTGCAAATATCACCAGTGATTAGTGGTGGTCCGATTAATTGAAATAATCGAAGATTTGTAGTGACTAAATGACCAAGCAAGCAATCATTTCCGATGATTGATCGGTTGTAATGAACCGATCATCAATTATGAGATTTTAACCAATTCCCAACACTACCAGTGATGTTCACGTCATCTGGATGCCACTGTCGGCATCATTTGAATGTTATTGCAGTGAAAGGTCAAAATGACATTACACTAGAAACAATGTCATTGTTGATGATATTTGACAGTTGTCATCCAATATGGTGTTTGTGATCAGTGCATTTGTCTGAAGGGAAGCATGGAAGGATTAAGAAATAATGGATAATATAGAAATTATAACAGGTGTTTCAGACTGATTTAACAAACATTTATTTAGAGAATTCATGCATTACCCTTGCATGGGAATGACAAGAATTCTGACCACACGTTTTGTCTACCCAGCAGCAACTGGGTGAAGAGAGTGATAGCGAGAGTGAATCGGATTGTGAAAGTAACTGACGTCTGTACGTTGTAAAGTTAGTAAACCAAACTAGATAGCATATGACTATATAAAATATTCAATTAAAACATGAAATGATTGTTTTTCAGAAGTGTTGTTTTCCGGGACAAGTTCTGTAACGAATCCATGTATGCATTCTTCGCACGAACACAACATTAATAACATTCTCTGCTCCCCTATTTAATGAAATTAACTCGACCTGTTGTTTGTGCTATTTAACCTCCTGGGTCATGCATATGTAGAGTAGCTCAGGTCAAGCTGAACACACTGTACCTGGGATACATACCTGGAATACATACCTGTGGTACAAGTGCTGACAACCATCCCTTTCAGCTTCAGTAAGTTTCCATGACATGTTGATGTCAACAGCTTTGTATCAGTTTTGAGCGAAATTTATTTGCAACTAAGATAACAATTTGCCTTGCTTATTCTAGCCTGAATGTACTGGCTGAATGACCATTACTCGTGTATATTTTCAGGAACGATACACTAGTCCATTGTAAGATTTCCTGCAGAGATATGATGCGTTTTCGTATGATATGTGTTTTTTGTATTGATACGAGATGATAAGCCTGCTCGTTTACTTATTTAATACTGATTTAATGACACACCCATCCCCAGCATATTGTCAGTTGGTTATTGTAAAATGAATTTGAACTAGCGTTTCAAGTTTACTAAAAATAATTGAGATGTGAACATCAATCACAGCAAGCTTTTTCTTTGGAACCTGCTCTGAAATATTTATAGTCTAGAAATTTCAATGCAATTTGTCATGTATATGCGCATTGCCATGCATAGAGTGTGATGACTTATGTATCGTGCCTCTTATTGTATTGTGACCTTGCTGTATTGTTTTACACCAAGCTACAATGATATACCATATTTTCCCTATTAAATGCTGGGGCTCCAGTTGACACTGTGTCATATTTTCTGTTCAAAAGACCTGTGAAGGTCCAGGTTAGAATGAACCTTTCAGTAACCCATGCTTGTCGTAAGAGGCGACTAACAGGATCGGGTGGTCAGGCTCGCTGGCTTGGTTGTCATCGGTTCCCAATTGTGCAGATCGATGCTCATGCTGTTGATCACTGGATTGTCTGATCCAGACTCGATTATTTACAGACCGCTGCCATATAGCTGGAATATTGCCGAGTGCGGCGTAAAACTAAACTCATTCATTCTATTCAAAAGAAAGGAAAGGGCCTCTTATGTTCTGGGTCCTTCATTTAATGAAATTAATGATCCCTACCACATTAACTTATGGCATGTAATGATTACTCCCTTCATGTAATGACCATTACTTGCAAATATAGTCTTTGTGTGAGTAGAATTTCGGAGATTCAGGAAGTTAGAGAGGTGTCATTGAGCTAAAATTAAGCATAGATGACAAGCCTCAAATAGATGGATTGACAACAGCATGTCCAATAAGGGAAATGTGGTATCTGGAATACAGTTTATTGCAGTGTAAGGCACCACACTTAAGTATTTTGTGCATACCACTTCGGTTGGAGAGAGTAGGTGAGTATGGTTTTACACCGTTTTTAGCAATATTCCAGCAATATCACAGCGGGGGACACAGAAATGGGTTTCACACATTGGTCCATGTGTGGAATGGAACCCGGGTCTTCAGCATGACGAGCGAATTCTTTGACCACTAGGCTACCGCACCACCCTATTTGGTTGGATGTTTTAGAGGGAAAAAAAGTATTCTAATACAGGGATTTATTTCGCTACAGGCTGCCATAGTGCAGGTAACTTTCATGTCAGGTTACACCTAGGGCAGGTAACATTTTCCATCACAGGTGCATGGCAGCAGTTTTAATAGCACACATTCCAGCGTAAATATGTCTCCTATTATGTGTATCAGGTGAATCAATTTGCATACCCAAAAATGTTTGTTTTCGTGCACATAAACAAGTTCCGTAGACCACACCCTGTACAGAGTCTTGTGACATTTCATGTAAGGCCAGATGTCACTGTGTAATACATCATTTAGAATTTAGAATGGTGGACAAGTAAATTTTGCCAGGCAGAAAAGAAATTAATTTCTGAAAGAAAATTTTAGTTAAAGCAACAACCTATCAAAACATTTCAGACTGGATAGTGGGGTAGCCCAGTGGTTAAAGCGTTTGCACATCACACCGATTACCCCGAGTTCGATTTTCCCACATGGGTACATGTGAAGCCCATTTCTGGTGTCCCCCACTGTGATATTGCTGGAATATTGCTGAAAGCAGCGTAAAACCATACTCACTCACTCACTCACTCATTGTGTTATACATGATTTGTAATGGCAGACAAGAAAATTTTGCCAGGTGGATAAGAAGTGAAATTCACGAATGAAAATGTTAAAGAGCAACAAACCATCAAACCATCCTTTCAGACATTGAGGAGTGTGAGCGTTTCTAGGACAATGAAGTTAGTTTGAATATCCATAGCATTCTGCTGATGCTCATCTTTTTGTCAATGACGGCAATAGGGTTGTTTATAAAATGGTACAGGCAATATTTGATGGTGCAACCAGAATAATTGACTTGGTTGCACCAGAGGGAGGTGGAGAAAAGAAATGAAGTCAGACCCTGCATTTCTGTTTTTAGTGAGACTCCTGCAACAATTATTTGTTGTCACTTTAAACAAAAAAGTAAATCAAATAAAGTGAAATTATGATTGCGAATCCTCATAATTTGGCCTTACCAATTGAACATTTATATCTCAGAATTTTATTCAACTTAGGATAAAAGTTGTTTAACAAACGATCATAGTTTCAAATCGCTCTTATTAGTTTATATTACAAGGGGGTATGCACATTAAAGGAAATCCCGAGAACATGTAGGGTTGGTCTAAGTTAACGCTTATCAAGTACTGCACATGCATTTGTTTCACTGTTCCAACTACGGCGCTTACCCCTTGTAATACAAACCAATAATAGCGATTTGAAACTATGATTGTTTGTTAAACAACTTGTATCCTAAGTTGAATAAAATTCTGAGATTTACAAGTTCAGTCGGCAAGGTCAAATTATGAGGATTCGCAATCTTAATTTCACTTTATTTGATTTACTTATTTGTTTAAAGTGACATTCATCGGTACGTTTTCACTGCAAACAGACTATAGAAAGGGTTTTGAGGTTTGTGTCAGTGAATCTGTACAAAGAAAAAATGACAACAGTTGTCTCAAAGATGTCAAAAGTATCATGATACTAATAATAATTTAATATTAATTTGTCAAAATAACTTGTATCCCCCTGAAATGTAGAAGTAATGTCTAGCTCATCAGACACTGTTAGTAATAATATTTGTATTTTAACTAATATTTACTGAAGTAAGATACTTGACGCCCGTTCGGTAGCACCGTACCTGTGGTCGTGGGTTTCACGATAATTGTAAGCTTTCCTTCCTCATTCAGTCAACGTACTGTGATACATGCAGAGTGAAGTACTCTTAAATGCTGCATTAATCCAAATTCACCCTCTTTCTCAATAATTTGTTAAACCATTGTAATTTAATGTAGATTTTTCTCAGCTGGTATGCTGTGATACAATCAGAATACTGTTAAAAAGTTGCATTGAACCTAATTCACTTGATTATAAACAATTCTTTGGCCTTTGTTAATTTATATCGATATTTTCAGCTGATATGCTGTGATACAAGCGAAATACTGTTAAAAGCTTCATTAAACCAAATTCATTCACTTGCAAACAATGTTTTGGACCTTTGTAAATTAATGTTGCTTTGATGGCATCCCATTTCATTATTGACAGACATGATTTTCTAATGATTTTCAAAGGAACATGGAATAGGATTCATTCAGTTTATTACATAAACTTGGTAAACATGCTAAATGTGATTGCTTTTGTAGGCAAATGCCCAAGTCATTTTGGACATAATTATGGTTTTATGTTTACCTTGCCTACAGTGTTTACGTGCTGAAATGTTGCGTCTCGGGATCTGACTGTGTAAATATAGATGTTGAGCTTTTGAGCTTAGTCTGTTCAGCAGCTAGAAAATGTACGTGTTTGAATTTGAAGATAGCTGAAAAATAGTGTGTAATATGATTCATGGTTTTGGTTTGACCTTCAAAACTAAAGGTCTAGAGGACTGTAGTGAAAATATGAGGTCCTGTCTAGTAATGAAATAGTGTTGTGTACACTACTTGTACTGGGCTGATTCACCTTGGCCCACTAAGGACCCCACCAGAGGACCCCAAATAAGTAACATCAAGGGTCCTTACAGGACGTTTGAGGGTCAGGAAAAGTCATGAAATAATATGGTGTACTATTTTCCTGTAATATTTACAGTAGTGGTGTTCCGATGATCGAAAAAAACACATCGAACATTGATCGAGAGAAGGATTAAAAATGATTATCGATTGTAAAAAAGTGTTTTTGATTAATCGAAATTTTGTTGTAGAACACTCTTGAATTAAGTATACTAACCATTTAATTTGACGAATATTCACGAACAAACATGTGGTCATCAGCGTAAACCTATGTGCATTGTAAAATTTTAAGCACTTTTATTGTTTTATTACAATTCCAGTGTCTTTCTTGCATGCGTGCATTTTATTGCATGACTGTATTAGTAATAAAAAACATTAATTAGAAAACCCTGGGGAAAAACCCTTAAAATTGGTGGTTACATTAAAAATGTAATATATTTCGATTATAATCGATAATCGTTCACCACAAGTCCTCAGATAATCGATAGTGGATTTGGTTTCCGATTCCCAACTTTAATTTTCAGGAACTTAGGATTAAACTTGGTTCGATGAATGTAATATATAATTTTGTTGTGTCCATTCTGTACATCTCAGGCATACAGGACACACATTTATGAGTCATGTAAGATTTCTGTAAGATTTTATAAATTATTTTGATTAGGACTTTTCAATTTTTGTCAAAAAAATGGTGTAATTAATATCGGTATATATATTTTTTTTCTGTGCAAATCCAATACATTTATGTGTATTGGTCATACCTATCTCGCATGTATCGACAGGACTGACTGACTGACTGAGTTTGGTTTTGCGCCGCTTTTAGCAATATTCCAGCAATATCACGGCGGGGGACACCAGAAATGGGCTTCACTCATTGTACCCATGTGGGGTATCGACAGGAAGTACACTTGACTGTCTGTAGTGTGGTATTTAATCAGTGCCTGTTTCGTTTGTACAGTCATAACCATTATTGCACACATGAGTTCAGTGGAAGGTATGTTTATGATTACAATCAATTATTAATTAATTGCTGAGCTCAAATTATCGATCTGGATATTGTGAACTATAACCAACCCTAGTTCCGACCACCCCCATGGTATAGTGGATAGAGCATGTAGCTTGAAAGCTGGTCGTTTGGGTGGCCTAGTGGTTAAAGCTTTCTCTCATCACGCTAAAGATCCAGGTTCAATGGGTACAATGTGTGAAGCCCATTTCGTGTGTCCCGCAGTGATATCGCTGGAATATTGCTAAAAGAGGCATAAAACCAAACTCACTAACTCTGCTCTGAAAGCCCTGTATCAGTGGTTCCAGCCTTAGGACCAGGGTTCGACACTCATGCTTGTCCGCTTGCCCGTGGCAAGTACTAATTAATCAGGGCAAGTAAAATTGCCAAAAGGCTTGCCCGAGTGGCAAGTACATATTTTTTCAACTTCTAACCTCAATTCATTCATTAAAACTCTTCACTTGCTGTGTTTTGTTTGTCTAGTTCTTTCTATACCATAAGAAACATGGGGTAAGTAGTATCTGTGATGGGCAAGTAGTTTAACTTTTCTACTTGGCCTCTTGGCAAGTGGGAGAAATCAGTGAGTGTCAAACCCTGAGGACGTGTCCTACCTAAAGATGTTTAGAGATGGAACTTCCTTTTATCATGCCAAGGGCTTGGCATTAGGATGATTTCATGCAAGTCTGTTTTCATATATTGTTTTTACAATGTTTTTGGTTCAAAATTGAAAGAGTTTAAGGGTTCACTTAAGGTTTTGTCCACATTTTTGTTTGTTTATATGTTGCCAAAAAGTCTTTGATACATTTACGGAGAAGATGCAGTATGTGAAGGAGAATGGAAGTCAATTTAAGATTCTATTTTCTAATGCTAAATAACATTATATAAACATGATAAATGTCAGTTGATCTTGTACAAGTGATATTGTATTTCACACAAACTTTACAGTTTTCAGCATGTAGTGTCTTATCCTTCCCTTCTTTTTTAATGGCAGAATAACCGCCATATAGCTGGAATACTGCTGAGTGTGGGGTCAAACAAAATAACCGCCATATAGCTGGAATACTGCTGAGTGTGGGGTCAAACAAAATAACCGCCATATAGCTGGAATACTGCTGAGTGTGGGGTCAAACAAAATAACCGCCATATAGCTGGAATACTGCTGAGTGGGGGTCAAACAAAATAACCGCCATATCGCTGGAATACTGCTGAGTGGGGGGTCAAACAAGAACCCACAACCAATGGCGGAATGTATTACATCAGAAGTGTGAAGTTGTTATACCGGTATATCAGATGTTGTATCAAGATAAACACCAGTTGACTGCAAGGTGTATCGTCAACATGCTTCCAACCCTAACTGTTTAACACAATCTTTTGTATCTTCTTATAAAACAAGCTCAACCTTGAGGAAGTACACCGGATACAGCTGTCAGTATGCCTTGAGCTCAGTTGATAAACGTCAGTCATCGGTTGATTGGATTGTGTTCCCATTGCATGCTCCAGTTGGCCTATAGTTGGGGATCCTGGGTTGGAATGTGTTCTCAGTAACCTTTGCTGGGTGTGAAAGGTAACTTGCTGAGTCAAGTGGTTTGACAGATAACTTGGTTGCAGCGTTAAGTAATATTTACCCATTTTTTGTTTGGATTGTGTGTGTTTACAGGTTCACAGAAACCTTTGTCGGTTGGTACAGGTGACTTATTGGATTGTGAGTGAGAACAGGATGTCATCTTTCTTTGTTGGTTGGTACAGGTGACAAGTTGATTGTGAGTGAGAACAGGTTGTCATCTATCTTTGTTGGTTGGTACAGGTGACAAGTTGATTGTGAGTGTGGACAGGTTGTCATCTATCTTTGTTGGTTGGTACAGGTGACAATTGGATTGTGAGTGAGAACAAGTTGTCATCTATCTTTGTTGGTTGGTACAGGTGACAAGTTGATTGCGAGTGAGAACAGGTTGTCATCAATCTTTGTTTGTTGGTACAGGTGACAATTTGATTGTGAGTGAGAACAAGTTGTCATCAATCTTCGTTGGTTGGTACAGGTGACAATTTGATTGTAAGTGAGAACAAGTTGTCATCAATCTTCGTTGGTTGGTACAGGTGACAATTTGATTGTGATTGAGAACAGGTTGTCATCTATCTTTGTTGGTTGGTACAGGTGACAATTTGATTGTGAGTGAGAACAGGTTGTCATCAATCTTTGTTTGTTTGTGCAGGTGGCAATTGGATTGTGTGTGGCAACAGGTTGTCATCTATCTTTGTTGGTTGGTACAGGTTGGCAATTGGATTGTGAGTGAGAACAGGTTGTCATCTATCTTTGTTGGTTGGTACAGGTGGCAATTGGATTGTGAGTGAGAACAGGTTGTCATCTATCTTTGTTGGTTGGTACAGGATTGTGGAGTGAGAACAGGTTGTCATCTATCTTTGCAATCTTTGTTGGGTACAGGTGACAATTGGATTGTGAGTGAGAACAGGTTGTCATCTATCTTTGTTGGTTGGTACAGGTGACAATTGGATTGTGAGTGAGAACAGGTTGTCATCTATCTTTGTTGGTTGGTACAGGTGACAATTGGATTGTGAGTGAGAACAGGTTGTCATCTATCTTTGTTGGTTGGTACAGGTGACAATTGGATTGTGAGTGAGAACAGGTTGTCATCTATCTTTGTTGGTTGGTACAGGTGGCAATTGGATTGTGTGTGGCAACAGGTTGTCATCTATCTTTGTTGGTTGGTACAGGTTGGCAATTGGATTGTGAGTGAGAACAGGTTGTCATCTATCTTTGTTGGTTGGTACAGGTGGCAATTTGATTGTGAGTGAGAACAAGTTGTCATCTGTGTTCAATTGGATTGTGAGTGAGAACAAGTTGTCATCTGTGTTTGTAGGTTGGATTTGAGCAATTGGATTGAGCACTCAGACTTGGTAAATGTGTGTCAGTGTAGTGATTCTCAGTGTTAACAGATTCATGGAAACCTTTGTGGACAAACAGTAATGAAAATAATTTCTAATCTTGATGGTAGGAATTGATTGTCATAATGTGTTTGTTTGGCCCCGACTTGAATATTTGACAGGTTTAGAGGATATCTAGTAGGGCTGTTACATTTCACTCACGTATTCAGTGGGGCTGTAACGATTCAGTTCGATTCATCAAAATCGAATGTGACACCTTCAGTTTGATTTTCGATTACTATTATCACTTATTTGATTCAGTATTTGAATACCTATTTAAATTATTTCCACACAACCAGAACGTAATTTTGACTCCAACTCGACCAGTTTCGAGCGCTGAAATAAGGTGAAATGTGATTGGTTGATGCAATGCTAATTATCCAATGAGAACTGTTGTTAGTAGACATCACCAAGTTGACGATGGATTGCACGCTAATAAAGCTGATCTGAGAGTTAAATGAAATCTGATGTTTTTACTTGTATGAAGAATTGAAAATGATCGGAATCGTGGGTCTAATATTGAAAATCGATTCGAGGTCTGGGTGAATCGTTGCAGTCCAAATACTCAGTGAATCAAACCATATCCATTCATGAATGCAATTTAACCGTCACGATCACCAGAATCGAATATTCATGAATTTTGTTAAAGCTGTGGGTTTTTTTTTAAATTTGAGTGTTATTTATGAAATAAAAACATGCAAAATGGACTTTATCCATGCCAGTCAGAATAATAATATATATTTAAATTAACAGTGTTGTGGTCACTGGTCACTGTCACGATAAATTAAGATTGGCAACATGGTCACACAATGTCAAATAATGACTTTGTTATTCTTTCACTGAATTTATTGCATAGCACATCAACTAAAAGTTGGTTTTGTATTCGTTACCCAATATTCATATTTGTTACCCAGTATTCATGAGATGTATCATATTCACGTCCTGGTGGATTGTTGCAGCCCAAGTATCTAGGTATTGTTTGGTATGTGGCTCATTGGAATTTAAGATAACTGGCCAGTGTGTTTTCATTTTCTGATAGGCTACTACATAGCTTGAATATTTCTGAGTTCTGAGGTAAACACCAAAGAAACAAACATTTTCTGATAGTGAATTGTTGTACTTCAATACACTCATTAAAACTTCCAGCTTAACAAACTGAAACTGTTTTTGTTCCTGTCCTGACCACAGGCACTCGTGTCTTTGCAAGGATTAAAGATTTTTAAAATATATATAAATATATATGCCTATCGAGCACCACTCATGACACCTACCAATTCTTTATTGTTATTTCTGCAAGTCGACTGAAACCCGATTTTGACTCTGAACTAAATGATCTTGACACAAATGGATGACAATATATCCACACAAAATTGGGGTGGGGTCAAAGCAAGCCCTGTGGTTGGTGGATGTTTGTTAAGGAGACATTTACAAGTGATGCATTCTTTTGAGAAGCCATTGCTGCAAAATCTTACATTTCCTCCCAGTCAAGCAGTCGAACAAAGTAAAAATTACCGCAAATTTATAAAGAATGTGCAGATTTGCAAGCGTTGACCAATCAGAGGACTTGTTTTGACCTGTGATGTCAGAAATGTGTGGATGAAGTATTTATGCATTTATTGAGTTTCAGTTCCAAATTATGAAGCCCATTTTGGTCCAAAACACACACACACACACACACACACACACACACACACACACACACACACACACACATTTACAATCATGTTCCTCTTTCCTCCACCCCACTCCCAAACTCACTGTCATATTACTTGACTGTTTCTGAAATCCCAAATCCCTCTTGCGATTGTTTGAAAGGGCATGATTCTCGAGCTATCATGTACAAGGTCGTATAAACCTGCAGGTGTTTCTTGGTAGACAGCAGTGGTGTGTAGACCCAGTTCCCAGGACAGGACTTGGGTTAAGAGAATGAAAGCAATTTGCACTCGTTACAACCTCAGGTGATACAATTGTTGCACCAGACAAAAACAGGTTGCACCTTGAGCTCAACATAAAATAAATTTTAATGTTTGACTTTTGGTTTTGATGATACAAAATTATAACAAGATTATTTTAGGTCTGATGAGATAATTTTATCTTACTTCATGACAGTCACACAAACAGTAAAACGGTGAGTCATTCACTGTCTGGTGTCCTTGTAGTCATCAGAGTAAGGGCGGTGGGTACCCTCATGGTTAAAGCGTCCGCTCGTCACGCTGAAGACATAGATTTGATTCCCCACATGGGTACAATGTGAGAAGCCCATTTCTGGTGTCTCCCGCCATGATAGTGCTGGGATATTGCTAAAAGCAGCATAAAACCTCACTCACTCACTCACTCACTCACTCACTCACTCACTCACTCACTCACTCACTCACTCACTCACTCACTCACTCACTCACTCACTCACTCACTCACTCACTCACTCACTCACTCACTCACTCACTCACTCACCCACCCAAGCCAGTTTCTCATCTGTGTTTCAGCAGTCTTTGAACAGGAAATATTAGCATACACTGTTTGCAAGTTCGTATGAATAGGAGATTGCAGTTTACAGTTTCAGGTTGCACAAGTGTATGTTCTAAATGCTTAAATATAGACCAGCAGGATGAACATATTTGGCTTCTTCCAATTTCCTCATTTTGTGCAATGGCAAATACACT